CCCCCAGGAGGGGAGACACCCCCCCCCCCCCCCCGTCTGGCTATTAAATTGACGTGCCCTAACTAGTTTTGACTATATACTATACCCGCCGGCCCCAGAATCAAGAGGAATTTCCGCGAATATGAAGTTCACCTGGGTACTTGCTGCTCTCTTTGTCGGGGTTGTGACGGCGAGTCCGATCATGGGGGAAGAAGATATGAGGAGCCCGGCTAGACGGGATACTGCTGTGAGTCTCTTCTTTTTTGTTTCTTTAGCAATGCTGAATCAAGCTGTCTCAAATGATCCCCACCCAGGGAACGAACATCCGGGGAGAGTACGGCGCCCAAGAGAGAGATGACGTCGGGACTAAATGTGTGTGAAAAATAGATGGCGCTCGATAACCGCTGCCAGAGCAAAGAGACCAAATGCGGAAGTGCGAAGGATTGTGAGGGTGGTTGTTTTTGTGATCCTGTTGTAAGTAATAGTTAATAGTTACTTTTGTTTTTGATGGTCTCCGCTTGAGAGTGTTATTTCTTTCGTTTTCTTCCTTCGCTTCGGGGGAGTGGAGGGGAAATGTGGTGAAAGGGCAGGATCAGAAAACGAGGACTAATGAATGGCTCCTGAAAATAGAGAAACATCTGCGTAAACAAGTAAAAGGGGAGGGCTAGAGCGAAGGAAAAAAAAAAAAAAAAAAAAAAAAAAAAAAAAAAAAAAAAAAAAAAAAGAGGTTCAGTCAACGACGATAGTATCCCGATTCCTAAGCGCTTAACGGTTTAGCGGTGTTTATTTTTGCCTTTCCCTCTTCCGTTTTTTATCTTTCTGTTGAATGGTTCTATGATTCAGAAGCAAATTCGGAATATGTGAAGTGATGGGATACGGCAATCAATTTGAGGCTTTGTGCGGCTTCCTCTTTTTGCCCTGTGGTATAAGATAGATACGCAAAAAGGGTTTTTTCTCTCTCTCTCTCTCTTCTTAGGATGCAATGATAATGGCAATTGAATAAAACAAAAAGAAGAAAAAGAATGATATGTGAAAGATCTGAAAAGAATAGAACAACAATACATATGATATGCCTCCGCTCCTCGTAAAAAAATCATGCTGATTTTTGTTTTTCAAGAGAGCAAGCAGGAAGCGAATAGGAAATTGGGCTGAAACGGCAGTAATTATGGACTCCTCTCCATATGCTCGCGTATAGCGAACCATATGGTGAGAAGGAAGGTAAGAGGGGGTTGGCGAGTCCTAAGGGGCGAACTGGAGAAGGGGGTGGAAGACGATGAGAAAATGGGTGGCTTTAACCTTAATCGCATTGCGTCGAGATTCGTGGATTGTGCATGTTCGCCCCAATTCATTCGAGGAGGCCGTGGTAATTTCAATAGAGGGAGGAACGGGAGAGTTGAAGAACAAGGTACGGATAGGATGTCCGCGGAACCGGGCGCTCGATCTATAATTGTCAATTACTCCTGAAAATCTTCATCTGTCGTATTTTCAGGTCCTCTTAAAATTCTTAGTCGATTGAAACTAGGGTGAGCCTGGTATCCAGCTAACAGCTGGGGTGTAGAAAAATAATAGCGTTGGGAAGGAATGATCAACCGCGATGCGGTATGCGAGAGAGGGCGGTAAACATGAAATAGAATATGTAATGTTAATTGCGTATAACAGTGGAAGGAAACCGTCCGGTGCGCTACAGCACAGAACCATGAATGAGAAGCAAAATAAAGTCAAAATCCTCCATCCTGCCGGTACCACTTGCCCTGTGGTTAATAGTTATGGGTATCATTCCAGTATAATCATACAGAAACGCCGTTTGAGGGGGAAAAGAGAAGCAAGGGAAAAAAAAAAAAGGGGGAAAAGAGTTTGAATAACAGAAAGGAAGGAATCGATAAGTCACGAGAGCCTACACAGGTAGGCGAAAGCCGCCCACATAATCCCGAGAAGGACTCGAGGGCATCTAACGAAGTCAGAGCTGGGGGCAAGATGTCTGATACGCCTGGTACGTGTCGTTGATTGATTGCCAAACTGCAAAACATGAAACTGGTCCACAACAAGCTTAATCGGTAGCATAGATTCACTGCTGAAAAGGAGCCTTTCCCCTACGGGATAAGTCGCTATCCATTTCTACAATTGAGGAGTACCCTCCCAGTTTCACAGCAGCGTCGAGGGCCACGAATTTCGGAACTTTCTTCAAATCAGGTCGAAGCTTCCTAAGTCGATTGGCACGATCTAATGCTGTGGACTGCTTTTTAGATAGCTTGGAATTTTGTGCTGAGTTATTGTGCTCGGTCCCTCTTGCAGCCACAGTCCCCGGTTCTTCTGGCGGAGGTGGGGGAGGTGTCGCGGGCGCCTCTGGTGGAGGGCTATTCGGGGGAGGAGGCTGGAAGAAGTGTGCAAATCGAGGATCAGTTTCACATAGACTAGTCAGATGTGTGCGCTGACGGTCGTATGATTCATAGTTCGCCCCGATAATCGAGCCTAGAAGGCTATTCATGCGTTTCTGCGGGAAGAAAGCCGCTTGCACCATATCTTGCTTAAGAATTTGATAAGCGTCCGCAAAGGCCCTGAAAATTAGTGGAATTTCCTTTGTTCCTCCAGAGATGTCATTATCAGGGTTGTTAGGGTCCATAATTGCAAGTCGCTGTTGCTTGTTTGCTTGATAGACGCCAAGGAGTTTCTGCGAGAGAGCGGTTAGTTTACATAGACTTGACAGGGGACATTGGTTGATACCTTATCGAAATAGCCGGGCGGGTCGAACTGTATGCCGACTCTCCTGGAATCAAACTTATTACCATAGAAATCGAAGAAGTCCATGAGAACACCGCCCAGATTAGGTTCTGCACCACTGTACGGGAGGTGCTGGAGGAGGCTAGTGACTAAACAAATGATCGAGAATCCACCCAAACCACCAGTTGGTACCTCATTGAGGCCGCGGAGCAGCAGAAACTGCTTTATCACGGAGACAATGATAGGCATGGCGGGAAATTGAGATTTCCAAACCTGAAATGTTTCGTTCGCTGCTATCCCAGTGGAGTTGTCGAATGACAAATCAACTTTCAAGCCGGTAAGCCTGTCTACGAATTTGATAATAGGGACTTTAGCATGAGCAATGGTTTCAACGGATCCCGGCACAGCGATGTCGAGATCTTTGAGATATGCGGCAAACGAGTAGATTTCACGTGGCCGTTGACAAAGAACCTTGCGGTCCTGTCGAATGAACTGCCTTGAGAGCAAGACAAGATCCATATCTGCTGTCGGAAGATAGAGTCCAGAGGCGAATGAACCAAAAGCCCTGAGCTGGGAGCCATAATGTCTTCTTTCAAAGTGACGCTGGAGCCGCGCGATCAAGTCATTCCTAATCGAATTTTCGAAAGGTTTGGGTTTGACCCAGTGGTAAAAACTGAGAATTTCGTTGTGCAGCCTGACGAAGAAATGGGCATTAGCTGTGGTGATGCCGACCAGGGAATTAGTGTTTAACTTACCTGGATCCTAAATGGACGATAGAAGGGCCTAAGGAATCTATCCAAGGAGTCGTATTCTGGTCTTCGAACGGCTTCCACTTGAGAAGTATTGATCCATCAGAATTAAAGAACTTTCCCACGGCGCCAGGGCGCCTGGACTGCCCGATTATTTCGTCGTCATGGGTTCGCTTTCTGCTGCCAAGGGCAGGGTCACCATCTTGGTTCATCGAGCTTTTTGGCCCCCGGGGCGCATTTTCAGGTGTCTCATCCATTTCCATATCATCCATGCCAAAGGATATAAAATCATCGTTCAAAACGACAGCATTGTGCTCATCAGGTTTAGGTTGTGGGGTCGACTGTATTCTTGCCTTGCGGATCAGCTTCACAAAGTCTTTCCTCTTCACTGGATTCTCATCAGACGGCAGCAAAACGGTGTACGGGTCCGGATTCGACCATCTGGGGGCGTTTGCAACGGGACCTGCGCTAGACTCGGTAACCTGCTTCTTTCGTGGAGGTTGGGACCCTTCATCTGCAGAAGAAACCTCCATCTCTGCCTCGTCGCTATCAGTTAAATCTTCTAAAGACATAAATTTTCTTGCTTTCTGCTCTGCGGTTTGCGGGCAACACAAGAGTTCAGGTGTCGTTTCTCTTTGCGACATTGACAATAATGGTCGCGCCGAAGTTTTGGGGAACCGAGATCGAAACGTGAATTCAGGTTGCTGGCGGGGTCTTCCCCCCTGCCTGTTCCCGCGAAACTCGAACTGCGGGGGCATGGTGGCAGATTATTTGTGTCTGGCGATATCCCAATTGCCTTTGGAATGTGTAACTACACAGCGTGTCGATGGTAGGGTAGGGCGTTGTCGCAGGATTTTTGCATGTCACAGAGTCTTTTCGATGTGAAGTTGAGAGGATTTTGTGTGAAAGGGGACGGCAGTTTCGCAAAGAGGAAGGCGGTGAAGATAGTCGAATGTATATCTGCCTTCATCAAAAATTCCATCTTTGCAACCAACCACCATCCCTTGACCAGAGCAAGCTTGAACCTTGACTTGTACTGGGGGAAAATGGTTATTGACAATTTGGAATTTCATTCTTTTCTTTTGTATTTATTATTTCCACAGCAGATAGCAGCCTTTTTGATTCTCTCCTCCACTTCCACACCCATCCGGCCATGCAAAGGCAAGGTTAACTGGCTAAGCCAGCGCGCTTCAACAGCAGTTGAAATTGTCAGAGACTCCCCGTTGCAGTGGGGGGCTGCAGCCTGGTGCAATTACTTCTAAAAACAGTTTCCATGCTGTGCAAGACTGATGGCTCAGCCCAGCGCTTCAATCAAAACATTCTCAAATTTCGACGCCCTGAACACAGAGAGCCATCCACATTCGGGATGAAGGATGTTCCGTGCAGCGTTATTGGCGGCGCTTTAGCTTCCCATTGAAGTAACCATGCAAAGTTCAGGATTTCGTCCCAATGGACGTAACTATAATGACATTTTGTCCACTACGGTCCTAACCGCCACTGTCATTCTGCTTGAGGTTTCGGCGAGAAGCTGGTTTCGATGACAATTGACGTATATCTGGCTACTTAAAGAGGCAGCCAGCTACTTGGCTAGCTTAACGGAATGATCAAATTTGGTTTCACCGTGAAGACCCCAATCTGAGGCTGATCTGAGAATCTCGCTACCAGGCTCCAGCATTTCCCAGTAGCAGCTTGGCAAAAGCCAGAGTGGATGGCAAGGAGATGAAGTGGAAGAACAGGGCAATAATGACCCTTCAGACGGAGCAGATGTGGTAGAAAGATTGTGCAAGTACCAACCAACCAAATTTGGCTTCGAGGGGCTCTCTCGTCACCGGAGGGCTTTTGGCAAGGAAAGTCACAGCAACCCAAGCTTCTGATCACCTACTAGGGTTCGTTTGCTTCATCCCAAACAGACAAGCTAGATTTAATAATTATTATTGATAAGGCTGTATTGTGCGCCACTATTTCCAAACCCTTGACTCCCTGCACTTCTTCCTGCCATTGGTTTGGTCCCACTTGGACAGGTTGTCAAAATTCTTGGCGCGCGGGGCCGTGGTGCGACTGTTAAATCGCACGGGCCGCAAGTTTTGGGCTTACCTGAGAAATCGATATGAGTTCTTCACCGATGTCGGAAAGTTATATATAATAAGGAAGTTGTATTTGAGATCTGCTTCCCGATATCTGCCAAATGTCAGTCGGCTTGGTAGAAAGTTCTGGGGATAGTAGTTTCCGCGCAAAAAAGCCAGTGGAATCTAAGCGCGGGGTTCCTTGCCGTATGGTGGATGGGATGCTTGCTACAGATATGCTGCCGTAAATAATGTTAATGCTGTTGCCTGGGGATGTCAGAGAATCAACAAAGCGCGAAGCCTGCATTAACTTCTCGAAGACATTACCCATCACAACGATGTTCGTGATCAGGAGTCTTTTAGGAATTGAAATTAATGTGGTGCCTAAATAATACGAACCTGTTGGAAGGTTGGCGCCAATTATTGAACGGCACATGCATTAGCAACGGGTGGAACATGCCAATAAGTCCCCTTTGCCTCTGATGATGTCGCCGTGAAGCGAAAAAGTACCTCATACTTTGTCAAGGAGAATGGCAGACGAGACCACCAAATCTTCTATCCCTATTTGCCGGGAGAGAAAATGCCGGCGCCGAGATGATGCTTTCAAGACTCCGGCTTGCCGAAAAAGGGACGTTTGGGTAATCGGAGCGAGCGATACCGAGAGAAGTGTCCTCCTTACACACATACTTTCTTCAAGGCATTCGAGATGTTACATTCTGTGCCAATTCCCAGCGTTTTGAAGCATGACGTCGTTTTCCTATGGATATCTTCGTCAGCCTTGGCGAAGTGGGATTTAGATAGAGTTAAGCATACGGAGTACACGATACGAATTTCCACCCCCCCTCCCAACACTCGGCAAACTTGGCGTGTCTCCATAGACTCCCGAATGCTATTCCTAATATCCATTCAGCGTTGAACCAGTGTCTACAACGTGTCGTGCTTTTCAGGCAGAATAATTTCGAGAAAGCCCTACCCTACCTTGACAGTGCGTAAAGCGAAAGACACCCAAAGGGTGTCGAATTTTGTGATATATAAATGGGATGGTATCAGCAAGAAACAAGAGAGAATCAATCCATTGAATCCACCGATCCAGCTCTACTACAGTGAAAAAACGACAATCATATTAATTATTTCCATATATTTCTATACTTCCCAAAATCAAATGGCGTCCCCAAAACTTGTCACTGTTTTTGGTGCTACAGGTAAACTTTTGAAATTTACCATCTTACCATTCCTCATGACTGGGCCGACTCTGATCTTCGTTTTCCATAGGTAACCAAGGCGGTTCTGTTGTCAGATCACTTCTTCGCAACAACGCGGCATTCCGTGTCCGAGGACTCACCCGGAACCCTGACTCCCCTAAGGCTAAAGAATTGGCTCAGGCTGGCGTTGAGGTTGTGGGAGTAGATGGATTTAAGAAAGACGATTTGGCCAATGCATTTAAAGACAGCTGGGCAGTATTTGCTAATACTAATTCCGACGATTCGGTAAGAGCTGCGAGGACTGTAGCCCATTGGACCATTCAAATTGAGAGTATGGCGATGCGAGATGCTAACAGTTAATCATAAGGCTTTTGATGATCCCAATGGACCCACTGAGCTGGACCTTGGTCGCGTCATTGTAGATGCTGCAAACGAAGCTGGCGTGGAGCATTTCGTGTATAGCTCAGCAGGCCATATCTACGAAATTACTAAAGGGGCCGTCAAACTAGATATGATGGACAGTTAGTATCAATTTTCCGTATTCTATTTCGCCTACCTACTAACTCTTTATCCAGACAAAAATAAAATCGAACAGCTCGCCCGAAATAGTCCTAATTTCAAAACTGTAACAGCTGTGTGTGCCGGTTGGTACTTCGAAAACTTCACGTCTCCATTCATTGCAGAAGTGTTCGGCGGATTCCCCCTCGCGACGGACTCTGAAGGTTATGTCACACTCTCGCAGCCTCTAGTTGGTGGCCCGGGATTGGTTCCATACATTGCAATCGAGGAAGACTTCGGAGATCTTGTCCATGGTGTTTTGCTGCACCCAGAAACATGGGGCGGAAAAACCATCCAAGGATTTGGCCATCTAGCAACATTTCAGGAGATCATTGAAGATTTTACCAAAGGTGCGGCCCCATTCGCGATATGCCAACAAATTATACAGGCTAACCAGAAGCCCTTATTTTCGGAGTTGCATAGTTACCGGCAAAACATCACGATATGTTCCCCTCGAAATAGAAAAGTTCCCTACGATGGGCGGCATTAGAGCACTCGAAAGCATTAGGGACATGTATTCATTCACACAATGGGCGGATGGTCGATATTTCGCGAATCAGGAGTTCGATGCAGAGCAGGCGAAGGCGCTTAAGAAATCTGTTCAAGACGTGGTCGCTCCAGGAGAGCCAAAGTCATTAATGACTGCCGAGCAATTTTTTGCCAAGATGTTCAGCGGAGGCAAAACTTAGTAGATGGATATCAGACAGCGTCGGACTAGCGAATATTTTGTTTTGTTGCGAGGAAAGCTATTCCAGAATAAAAATTTAATTCCACGTTCTTATCAAAATACTCAGAATGGTCTCTCCAGTTTCAAAGTCGGCTACCATACCGCTCCGGAACTTCGTGCGAAGTCTCTCCGAGGCAAATCAAGCATAGCTGAAGACGTAATAGCTTCAAGTTGAAAAAGGCTGTTAACAAGCTATAATACCGGCAGCAAATGGCCATAAACAAATTGTGGATTGATATCAGCTCCAAAGATATCGTATCCAATACACAAAATAGGAACTATCGAGGCAATATAATGCTCTGAGAACTACAAGGTTGATTATCGATACAATCTTTTGGAGGCTCTTCAAGCCTTTTCATCGCCATTTAACACTAACGCCAACTGTCAAGACAGACCCCCAGCTCGAGATGATATCTTCCTGCTCTCATAAGCGGGAAGCTAAATACATAAACTTGGGCGAATTGAATTTACTCATCCACTATTTAAGGGCACTTACGGACTAGTGGGATGAGAGGCAATCACCTAGCTGCAGGAGATACATTAACCACTGGCCTTTAAGCATCTTTCTGACGTTTGGCTGGCCTGGCTTCTCGTTGGTGAAGCAGCACCGCAGGCGCATTTCAAGCTGCGCTTGTTACCAATCCTTGAAGCGCTCTCGTTTTCGAGGATCAAGGATGTTTAGCAGCAATCTACGGAGTACTACTAAATATCTCGTATTCGTGCTTACCTAGATGACGTGGGTCTGAAGGGGGTATGTTGCATCTCCCATCGCCTGAATAGATATCGCATTCAAACACTCTCGTCAACTTATCCATATTCAAGCGATTACATGCACAGCTAACGTGCTCGTCCCCCAGTATTCAACAGCATTGGCAGCACATCATTCTTCCACTTGCAGTGTGCGGAATCAAGGGACCATGGCGACACGAATTGTATGTCTATGCAATCGCGCATCTCAAACCGTGATCCTGGACTGGTCACCAGATTCAGTGATGCGTAGCCCATCCGTGCTGCCCTTCTGCCACTGCGATACCTGTCGTCGGACAGCAGGACTACTCTGCACATCCTATGTCCCTCTGAAACAAGGCAAGCAATCAGGATCCGATCTTAATGGTCTTGTCGAATACCACTTCGAGCCTCTGGTTCTGCGGAACATGCGGCGCCCATGTCTTTCTCCAGATCAAGGGAACCGAAGAGTATGAGGCAAAATTCATGGCAGCGCGGGGAACCATAGAAGACAGCGGACCTCAGACGGAGTCCATATCACATCTGTGTTTAGCCAGTACAGTTGACGGAGGCATCTTCGGTCTGCCCAAGCCAGCTGGAGGGGTTCTTCAGAGCGGAACGGAACGCAACACATGTTTCACAGGAGCTACCCGCACTGCTCCAGCATATTTACACTCCCACTAGCTGGACGAGTGACCAGAAATCAAACGAATCTCAGCAGGAATCCCCAAACCCCCGCACCCTCTTCGACCAAAACCTTAGCTGCAAGCTGCAAGCTGCCAGTGCGAGGGCGTCAAGTTTTTCATGACCGCCCCCAATCACACATCCCGTTCCCCCACGTCCCCATGGTCTGATGTCTTGGTTCCCTACCACTCCTCCACACCCCCCTCTGCGGCGGCTGCCAATCCCAATGACGTGAAATGGTGGCTGTGCGATAATGGCACAAAATATCTCACAGGCCTTTGCGCCTGCAACTCCTGCCGGCTAGCATCTGGCTTCCCGATCCAAAGTTGGGCGTTTATTTCACGGTTAAACATCTTCAAAACATCAGACGGCTCGAACCTAGCCTACGATGACTTGGGAACTCTGAAGTATAAAAGCTCTCCCGGAGTCTATAGAGAATTCTGTGGCGTTTGTGGCGCTACTGTTTTCTGGCACTCTGATGAGAGACCGGAGGTGGTGGACGTGAGTGTCGGGCTGTTGAGAGCGGAGACTAGGGTAAGGATTGATGATTGGCTACATTGGGAGCTTGGGCGGATTAGCTTCGAGGAACACGCACTGGATAAGGGCATGGTAAGATTCTTAAAGGAGGGCTTCAGTGGGGTTGGTGGGACCCCGGTAGGGTAGATGTTGCCCTCTGGATATGGATGGTGCGAAGTGTTGAATACGGCGGTAGCCTCGGGGATACTTTCGGATATGTGATGCATGAAACAGGTGAAGATTTTCCTTAAATACTTTGGATGGCACGGTATGATGTGTCATTGCCATGTTTGATAGATAGGTAATCCTATCCATCCTAGGGGAAATAATTCTAGTATACCGTGATTTTAGAAGTTTAAATCGGGCTGACTGTATAATAAACTATTTCTATTGTATCAGCCAGTCCCCAACAGCAACGAATCGCCCTTGAATGCCTAATGAACTTTGTATTTACTCGTCAGCCCTGGGCTAAATACCCAACATCCACATGAAGGTCTAAACTAAAAAATAAAACCATAATGTGTCAGAAAGAAACCAAGAAAGAAACCAAGTAACCGGTTTCGTGCTCCAACATTCAAATCTTACTTGTCGATATAATCACAAATATAATCACAAAGAAAAAAACAAACCAAGCGTAGAAAGCCGGCCGACTAAAACACGGGAGAGAAATGATCCAATCCCGTAGAACTCACCCGACGTATCTACGAGTCGGATCAGTTTCCACCTACTCCGGGCCCAAAAACGCCGGAATGTGAGTTATCATCAGCTCAAGTGGATTCCAGCGATTGGCGCACACAGGAGCATAACCCGCGCCCCTCCGATGCAAGCCCGAGCGTGTGGGAATGCGGGATGGGATGATTGACATGATTTGTTTGTTGATTTATTATGTTTTGGCATTTTGGTGGGTTGGGCAAGGCAAGCAAGTTAATATGGATCTGGGGGGATTTATCGACCAACCAACCACCAATTGCTAAAATATTCTAGCGGGATTGTACCCCGCCTTGCAACATGTGGTCGTAAGGTTTCTCGCCCGTCCTTCCTTCGTGCGCGCATATAAATAGACCACTAGATCCCAGATTTTCTCGGGGAATCTGTTTTATCTTCCTTATTCCTTCGTCAGCCCCAAGGTTTTATCAGAATCCAACATCATACCTACAGATATACCAAGTTATCAACCGATTTTTTTTCCATCAATTACCCCGCATTTCATCATGGGTATGTGAACTTCCCTGTTTCATGTGGCTCCGTTTTGTTGTCTCCAAGTGCAGGAGAGATTTTGCATCATCTTTCATATATTCAGCACCATATTAACAATGTCTACGTTGATAAATAGGTGACTGTGGCTGTGCTTGTGGTGCTTCTTGCCAGTGCCCCTCCGGACAGTGCAATTGCGTAAGTGATACCTTGCCCTGGGCGTTCTCTTGATATGCGGATGTTGTTATCTGACGGTCATGACGGCCATCAAACCTCCAGAAATAAACATGGCGCTGTAATTCCCAACTAGACATATCCCTTGTCCTTTGTCCGATTCCGCCTTCCCTGATTGATCGTAGGAGCAGAGCGTTGTTCCCCCCCTAATAACGTGGGAAGTAATAATTCCTGTTACCGGGCCGTTGTGAACGGTATATGTCAATTCCCATTGCCTTCCGCCTAGTAGGGGTTGATCGATATTGGTAGACAGCATGGGGGCGTGATTAGGAGTGTCTTTTAGGTTTCAACATTGGCAGGTGGTATTCTAGCATAAATATTTTCTGGTAGTTTCATAACAGCAGGATGCGCATTTGAAATTTTCTTTTTATAATTCTGTGTATGTTAAAATCTTTCCCGCCTTCAAAGTTTGTGGTGCTGAAGCCCTTGCCTTGGTTTCCCTGTCTCGGCTCTTTTAGTATTGAAGGGACCCTCAAGTCACTATCCGCTCATTAAGGCCGAAAATCGAATGACGTCTCATTAATTATCCCTTGCTCTCGGCCAGTCCCTGGCCATATTTTGTACACATAATGAAGCGGTCTTTCGCTGATAGATGTTTTGGGTTGAGTAGCCGCTGCAAGTTCATGGACCATAGATCATTTGATCTGGCAAGCAGCTTGAAGCATCCTTCATGGCGTCTCAAATACTTTCAATATAGGTTGTTGACGGAGCATTCTTTATTTGTTTCAAGGGGTGCTCTAACGGGAAACCCTCTGAGTACCACTATACAGTGCTACATCGGGAGAGCATATCCCACAATGAGCCAATCTGTGTTTCGAAGTCGAATAGGTTCTAACGAGCCACCGGAGGTCTGCTAAATTCCGCATGTAGATCATGTTGAGTTTGTGTGTTTCATCCGGAAACGAAATAATTAAATCGGGGGTTGGGGGAGGGGGGGGGGGCGACTTTTTGGCCTCCTATAGAACCTCTGATGACCCCTTTCTAGAAAATGGAAGGTCTGGTTGAATATGAAGTTAGCGAAATGGTTCGGAACGTCTCAGCTGTACGTGCTACACAAGACATAGATAAGTTGCTTATCCAGTAACTGTAGAACGGTACGCTTGTCCCACCTTAGGCATCGACCTAAATGTGATAGGGGGAGAGAGACTGGCTGTCCATTAAACTTAAATGGAAGAAGTCGCGGGGAATATGCAATGCGGAGCTGGAAGAGGAGGAGATTAATCATAATGGAGGTGGGATTCGAGGATCCAATAAGTCTCAGAGCCGCGTCGTCGCCGAATCTCCAACGTGCCTAGGCGGATTAAGAGTGGAACACGGTAGCGCAATTGAAGCTCTGCAAGGGGAAAAAATTTAGAAAAATCAACGACAGCAGGCAGCAAGCTCCATTCTTTAGCACTGAATCGCGGGTTCTGATCTATGAGTGAGGCAGGCCGGCGGAAGGCGGCTGCCGAAGGCGTCAGATAATACGAAAGAACAGCCGAAAGATCCATTGAAGCGAGAGGAAACCGAGGGGAGATAGGCGAATAGCAAGGATTCAAGCGGTACGGATACGGATCCGCAAAGCCATCGACCATACGACTTTGATGTTTTCATCTTCTAATCTTGGTAAAGGTTTTGGAGCAACACAGCTGTTGCATTTTTCAATAATAATTGTGTTTCGATCCCATCCTTCTCACCATTCTCCAATCCACGTGACCGTTGGCGTGGCTTTGGCTTTGCTGTTGGGGCAACACCAGCACCAGCATGGGCTCATATCAGTGTTAGCATTTTATTTTCTCCTTCATTGATTCCGTTCCTCAAAGGACTCATCCGCTAGAAGAAGATCGGTGGCTTGTAGTGCTAAAAATATAAAAACAAGTCTAGCCATTCAGCCTCGGAACTGTAGATTCCTCAGTTCTCGATATGGATGAACAAGGGAAGCGGTGAGCTCTGGAGTCATGTTCATTGGTGACAAGATGAAGGCCCGTGGAAACACGAGGTTTCTGCACTAGAATATTTGACAACGGAGGTCCGCTGCCAAATCTTCGCACATTTCAAACCCCAAGTTCGTGATAGTGGATTCCTCAACAGCAGAGCCTCGCCGTGTAAGATATGAGCTCTCTGACCGAAGGCTTGAGAAGGATTGACTCTCTCCGATAGTGCTGGAACTAAACGAACCCCATACGTTCTAAAAATCGAAGAGTTGGAGTCTGGAGCGATCTCATGGATATTTAAACAGGGTGGAATCAGCCTTCAATTTAAAGCAACCGCCTTCAAAATATCAATTTCCCAGATTCGCATACCTATATCCCTCGAGATAAATCGGGTCTTCATCCAGCATGAGTGCTGCATATCTTCGGACGCAAATTCTTGGTGAGTTCATCGCACCCTTTGGAAGCCACCTCGTGCGTCACCGATTGCTTTACAGACTACTAACTCTTGAATTATGAAGCAAATGCCAAATTCCTCTATGGCCCAGAGAAGAAGTTTGAGATCATAACCGGGCTCGTGTTCCTCGGCATGTACGGAAACATTCAAGCAAGCAATGCAATTCTTGTAACGACAGACGCGGACGCTGGAACCTTCCGAACGCACCTTGTTGGTACTCCCAAGGAGCATATCGATGACGCGATGATGGAGCTGCATAATGAGGTCACGAAGAAGATTTATGAGAAGTTGTCTGTGGGTTTGGACGAAAATGCCGCGATAGAGGCTGGAGAGACAGTTATTGAAGGGACGCTGGATTGGTGAGAGGCCTGCAGGATGACATGGGGATAGTTGGTTTGATGGGATTTCAACCCAAGCATGATCCGTAAAAACGGCTTTAGCTTTCAATAAAATGATTAACACAAGCTGATTTCGAAGTCCCTTATGTCAACTGTTCTTGACATTCGCATGCAAACCCAACATTGTTGGCCAAGTAAAATGCAAAGATTTGGGCCTTTTCATGATAATCTACTCCCTGATCCGTTGATATTTTCAGTCAATTTCCCACCAAGTCATTGTGGGGAGGGGAGGCTTCAAAACAATCCCTCAAGGCTAGGGCGGTGGTTCGCGGCCCCATTAACTGCCAATGGCCGGGAAACCACGGCAAGCGAGAGAAGTGGACTCAAGTGTGCCACGTATTTACACAGCTTGATGTTTTAAGCGGATAAAGAACAGGGGGGCAGGAAGTTCCTTGGTCGAAAAAGATATGAAATCATCATCCATCACAGATTTAGTAATGCTTGAATTGCCCATACAAGCATCAGAAATATCGAGAATTCCCAACGGGAGTACTCAAAAGAAAATACGCCTCGTCAACAGGCAAAACGGCTCGAATAATATGGCCAATAGCGGCGACTTGAGGAGCTCCCAGGGCGGACGCCTTTTTGGACTTGTGCATGCCAAAGCTTCTTCTCGATTCCGCAGCTGCAGGCTGCCACGACACAGGTGGAGCTCTCTAGAGGGTCTGTAATAAGTCGTGTGCAGAGAGAGTGTGTTTCAAGTTTTTGACGGGAGCTTGCTGGAACGAAGGAAGGTGTATACAGAAAACTTGACCTCGCTAAGTGCGCCACCCACTTGACCTCGTTACATAATCATGACCCCGACCTCGCATAATACAGTAATAATCAGTTGGTAATTGACTTTCAATCTTTCAATCCACTCATTCATTCAGCTCATCAATCAATCAAAGCATGTATAATCAATTAAATGAACAGATAAATTCATATAGAATATAAGAAGATGTTTTACAGAATTTTAAAATGTATCAAGATAAAAATATTTAATAATTAATTTTAAATTAATTTTAAATTGATTTTGAATTGATTCTGAATTGATTCTGAATTGATTATAGTAATAAAAATAGATTCAATTTATATATTTAAGTAATTAATAATTGATTGAAAATCAGTTGATAATCAATTCAGTGTAAATTATATAAATACTTACTTTATTATTAAATTCAAGAATAATTTCAGTATTAAATTGATTTTAAATTGATTTTAAATTGATTGTAGAATTGATACATAACGAGGTCAAGTGGCGCACTTAGCGAGGTCAAGTTTTCTGCTTTCTGGAAGGAAGGAACAGGAAGCAGAAAACTTGACCTCGCTAAGTGCGCCACTTGACCTCGTTATGTAAGCTGACCTCGCAAATGTGGCCCGTGCCACTACCTGACCTCGCTCAATACATCTTTTCTTGTAATTTGAAACCACTTAATTATTTATCATCAATTCTACAATCAATTCAAAATCAATTGTTAATTACTTAAATATACAGATTGAATTTATTTTATTACTATAATTAATTAACAATTAATTCAGAATCAATTCAAAATCAATTCAAAATCAATTTGTGATTCAAAGGTTGCTTAAGCCAGCGTACGATTACAGGCGTACACCGGCTTCTTATATATTGTAATATCATATGCTAATTTAATTAGCGGCCGCTATGGCCCCTTTACACTCATATGTGTATGCTAGTAGCTCGGAAGTGGCTGTATATGCTAGTAGTTCAGAAGTGGTCATGTTATTATTCAATGATTATATATTCTTTCAAATCACATTCTCTCTCATCAGATTCAGTCACACTCACATAATCATATTATACACTCTAGCTTCATGCAGATTAGCTCATTACTAGTGTTTTATAATTATATAATCTATCTCTGATTCAGCTAGTGTTCTGTATATACTCTTACAAAGAAACTTTTACTATATTATATCACTTATTCACTAACTTTTCTTATTTTTTAATTATCTTCTTCATTTCATTATCATTGAATATTATAATTATTCAAGATTTCTATCTCTTCTTCTATTTAACTCTTTCTATCTGTTTATCTATTACATTGTACATGTTTCTAACAATGATCTCTCATTCTCATAATAAGTATTATCATAGTGCTCATATCAGGCAGTTTGTTAGCAGTAAGTGTAATATGTTGTGAAACATGATCAGAACTTGTTTATCTTCTAATAATTATCAGAATGATATATTATTATAAATAATAACACATCTTCTTCATCTTCTTATACATTTCTGATTATTTTCTTCTCAGTGAGTTTCTGATTGTGTTTTCTGACATGATTTTACATGAACACAGATGCTGATATATTTGTTTTTATTTATATAGAATCTTCATGCATTGACAGATTCACATCTATCAATAATAGTGAACTCAGTATTAAATCATTGATTGAGAACTTGAAGAATGTGATAATGAAGAAATTATCTGTGTTATATATAATCAGATCTTCTGTGTCTCTCTTTATTCTCTCTATTTCTTTCTCTACTGCTTCTCTTTAATTTTCTATATCTATTTCTGTGTCTGATTTCTCTTCTGCTATCTCTGTTTCTGTAACTCTTACTTCTACTACTTCTGGTTTTACTGTCTCTGCTTTCATTATCAGCTCTTCTCATTTTAAGAAGATATTGTATAGACTTAATAAATTATCTCTCTCAGTATATATACTCTTACTCTTCTTACTGACTCTTAGAATAATTTATTGTATAAAGACAGTGTATAATATAACTATCTGAAGCTTGATTATAAACACTGATTATTACATTTGTTTTAAATATTTATAATAAGAGAATTATTCATTTATATCAGAGAATTGTCTCTCTTTTCAACAGTGTTGAAATTATAAGTCTTTTTCTTTTTCATCTTTTCTTTCTGATACTGACTTTTCTATTCTTAGAAGAAATTGTTATAAGTTTTACTGTGTATAAAGTCATAACATTTACAGATATCAAGGAACTTTTCACAACTATTAAATTTAATATTATAAGTATATCTGCTCTGACTAATATCTTCAAAATAATTGACTTATATCAGTCTATTCTCTGATGATTGTCATTCAACTTCATAATATAGATGAAGAATATCTGTATTTTCAGAAATGAAAACATGAATGTTGTACTCTTTTACACTCACAGATGTGAGACTTGTACATCTTGTCTGAGATATTGTCATAAGAATGAGCTGTTTGTATACTGTGTTCTGCTTTCTGTATTTCTCTATATCTCTCTCTCTCTTTCTGAGAAGTCTTGTATGTATTGTAATTATGTATACAATTCTAAGATCAGTGAGTGTTTATTCAGTAATTATTACTTCTGTTTTTATAGTTTTGTATACTAATAATAGTTCTTAGTTACTTTAGCATCAGAGGTCATTTTAATTGAAGATGATAATACTGCTGAGACTACTCTCTTCTGTTCTTAAGCTTCTTCTGTTACTTCTTCTCTCTCTTCTACAGAGAAGATTGTATACACACTGAGTTATAAGTGTTCAGCTCTGAATGACTTCTGTTATTATTATTATTATTATTATTATTATTATTATTATTATTCTTCAATTATAAATGTATGCAGTCAGAGACTATGACATCTACCTGAGAATCTTTAGTTCTCAGAGTTTTTCCTATATCTATAGAGTCAACTATTATACATTTATCAATTTCAAATATGTAAAATCAAAAAATTCCAGTCTAGAATATAAAAACTGTTTACAAATTGCAGTATTTCAACACCTTCTGATAGTTTGAAATCATTTGAAAATATTATGACAAAAGAAAAGAGAATATAGTCTTAAACTACGGGCGCTAGCCACTCGCAGAATGCATCTTAAGCTAATTACATTTAACTCTCTATAATTAACTGATCATCACGTCTGTCCTCTCAGGCCAGCCACTAATTTCCAGAGACATTAGTTAGTGACTGTCACTGCTCACTTGATAATATACACATCAAGCTTTCAGTTGCTGATCTCAGCCTTATTAAATGCTCATAGATCTATCAATCAGCTGTCATGGCCTCACTTGTAAGAATAAGTGCTCGCAGGCGATTATTCGGGTGTTTGCAGCTTGGCGTGATATGTACTGTTAACTACTAGAAGTGTTCATGGTAGAAAGATAAATGTAGGGGTCAAATGTATAATAGCATTCAAGCTGAGTTACAAATAGTATTCGCGAACTCCAGTCTATATAGTTGTGTGTAGCCAAGGGCCGCTAGCCCTATTGATTACATGAGAGATAGGAATAGGGGTAAAGGATCCGCGAGGAGCGGGATTTCTTACATATCCTCCTCTCTCTAAGACTTCATCCGCGAAGCCTTTCACTGAGTGACTTCATAGTCAGCTCAGCACTGCAGTGATACTCACTAAAAACCCTTCACATCTGTAAAAAACCTCAGTGAGGAAAAATCCCTTGTTACCACAAAGGGAAAAGAGTCTGTCACTCAGTTCCTTATTCTGCAAGGTTCTTTGTGGCCTACAGATCCTTCTCTGACTACCATGCAGATTCATCTCGCACCTTCCATACAGGAGGGTTCCGGTTGACTCTCAACCATTTCCACGAGGTTCTTGTGTGACCATCACACAGATCCATCTCGCAGGTGAATCACTCTCTGTGAGATCACCCCCATCAAAGAGAAACATTCATGAGTTGATCTTTCATTCATCTTCGCAAACAATGTCTGGCCGCCGCCGAGCTTCTCGTGGGCGTCCCCGCGACTCCTCCGGTCGCTTTTTGCCGGCTGGTGGAGCAGGGGCGCCGCCGCCCACGACCGCACCTCCACCCCCCCCAGCCCTGCCACCGCACCCGATCTTCGGGCCAGCGGCCCATCCCATCCCTCCCCCAGGCCAGCCCCTGGCTCCAAGCAGCGCAGTCCTTCCCTTTGCTGTAAGTCTTCTCATAAGTAATTCCTTACAGACCCTAGCTGACAGTTCTTACAAAGCTCTCAGTGTTGCCAGTGCCTCCTGCAGTCTCACAGGCCTACAACCACCCCCCCCCCTGCCCGCACAATCTCTGACCAGGCATATGTGAATATGCCTAGGTTCCCTATCAATGGTCCTCGCGCCGCGGCGCATTTCCACAATCCCATTGTCAATGAGAGATAGATCCTCAGATACCTGCAAAATCCAGGTAGTCAAGACAATGCAAATGTCATGAATTCATGACAGAAGTTGATCTGAACAGATGAGCTCTCTCTCTGTATTCTCATTGTTTTCAGGCTGAATACTTCAGCACAACTGAGAGAGCAGACACAGCTTCATGAGAAGTATCTGATCATATGTGTAGATGACCAGTCTTCAAGACTCTGCTGCAACTGCATGTGCTCTGATATTCAGCTTCTCTGAAGTCTGTGCATTTCTGACAGTCTTCATGTCAAATGCAACAATTATCTGTACTGCAGACATGATGCTCTCTGCTTCTTTAAAGAGAGAAATTAATAGTTGTGAGGAGATTGAGTGTCATAGATATTAATAATATAAGTGTGAGTTTTCTTTATTTTTTCTTTATTAATCTCTAAATTGTATTTGCAGCTCTGTTTATTTTCTTATTTTTTAGCTTTAATAAGAACATGTTTTCTTCTTTTCTTATGTATACTGCAGACTGTTCATCCCAGTAGAAACTCATTATCTTATAGACTAGAATTCACAAATGACAGTGTTAATGTCTTTATCACAATCAGATTCTTAGTGAAGACTGCATTATTCTGACTTATCAGAATTCATAGTATAAAAGTCATGTCTCAGCTTCTGTAGATATCTTATCTGCTCAGATGATTCTCAAGTGAACTCATTCATTTTATCAGAATACTCTTGTCACTGAATCTTGAATCAGAGCTTACAATCTCACTTCTCTGAGTCAATAATCTCTTTGATCTGATATTCTCTTTCACTCTCTAGTGCTTTACAGACAGAGTGATGAGTCACAGAGTTCTCTTCTGAGAATTCCTTATATTCATGAAGTAAAGAGACATGAAAAACATTATATATCTGTAACTCAGATAACAGTTTCAATCTATAGAACTGTAAACTAACTTTCTTCACAATCTTGCAAGACTCTGTCTGCAAGAGATTCAGCTTCTTGCTAGATCTTTATATAGTGATGTTTTCTAGACTCAGTCAGACTCTATCATCTTTCTTAAAACTCTTTATAATATACTTGAAGTCATAGTATCTCTTCTGATACTCTTGAGTCTTTCTCAAGAATTCACAGACTTTCTTTCAAATCTTCTGAATTCTCTCAGCTCATTCACAGACATCACCACACTCTATAGTGTACTCTCGCGGGTTCATCAAGATCATTCACAGATGAGTCTCAGTGAGCATCTCAAAGAGGGTTTTATCTGTGCTGACATGTTTTAAGTTGTTATATATGAACTCTGTAAGTGATAATCAATGCATTCAGTCATTCTGATTGTAATTGACAAAGCATCACAGATACTGTTTCAATATACTCATCAGACATTCTATCTGATTATCTGTCTGTTAATGAAAAGCTGTGCTTAGATCTTATAAGATCTTCAGTATAATTATCAGATCAGATCAGAACTCTTCTGTGAAAATTGATTCTCTATCTGAGATAATATTCACAGACAATTCATGCAACTGAATCATATTGCAGACAAAGATATGAGTCAAATTCTTTAACTTCAAGTCCTTGTGAGTGAATATAAAGTATGTTATCTTAATAAAGTAATTCACTATCATCAGCACACTGTCAAAGCAGGCATCATATATATTCTTACTTTCAGAGAGACTTATAAGAGCATTCATTTCTAGCTGTTCTCAAGGTTTCTGTGAGATGAATAGAGAAGTAAGTTCTTCATATAACCTGAACTGTACTATTCATAAACTCTGATAAATAGTATAAGAATTCACTATCTTCTTCACAAGTTCTCATATCTTCAGTCAGAAGTATTTTCTTGCAAGCAGCTCATGAGTTCTAGTGTCTATAAAATGACTCACTAGAGAAGAGTCATGATACCTTTTAATGAGTTCTACATGTAGAAACTTATTTACAGGCATATAAATCTGACTCTCTCTTCATAAGAGATTATTTAAGTCTCTTTAACTCTTTATTTCTGCAGGGTTGATCCCTGCTGTGAGCAGTTTTCAAATATACTGAGTATATTCATTCTTCAGTTGCAGTTCAGACAATCTGAATAGAAGATCTTGTGAAGACTTATACTCTGTTTCTCCTTACACCAGGTCTTCCACAGTACTTCTCAAAGCCTGCAAACTCTTCAGATTATAGATACTCTCTTCAAGAATCCTTGCAGAGATTCTCAGAGTGTTGACTCTCAGTGTTGTAGAGAGTAGTTGTACAGACTTCTTCTCTCTCTTTTCTCTCTTCTCTCACAGAGAATTGAGAGACTCTTCAATTAATCTCTTCACAACACTCAGTCTGAGCATTTCACAAAGCTTTTCTGTCTTCTCTAGTCTCTCTGTATCTGTCATCCTGATCTTCTTAACATAGTCTGGCCTGTGAGAGAGTCTGTCTGCTGAGTTCTTAGTTCTCTTGATATGTTCTATTTTGAATCAGAACTCACTCAGTCTCTGAGCTCAGCAAATCTGTCACTGTGAGAGTTTCTTGATTGAAATAAACTATCATAAGCTGTCATGATCAGTTCTAACAGTAATCACTGTCATGAGACTCTTGAAGTAGTGATATCAGTGATAGAAGAATTTCACTATTATAAGAAGCTTCTGATCATGAATGCTATAGTTAATCTTTACAGATTGCATCTTCTGTGAGAAAAAGGTCACTGAAACTCAGTTCTCATTTAACTGTAGTTGTAAGACTATTTCTGAAATCACAAAGAAGGAGATATCTGTCTTCAATCTGATTAAGAGCAAGAGATTAAAGTGAAACAGTATCACTGTATTCATGAATACCTGTTTCAACCTTGCAAAGGCTCTGCAAGCTTCTGAGATAAGAAAGTTCTCACAGTTCTCTCTTCTCAACAATCTTTTCATTCTTCATTCACAGAATGATTTCTTCTTGTTTTCATTCTTCAGCATGTCTGTAAGAGTCAAGAAGATTCTTATAAATGCAAAGATAAATCATCTATAGAAATTCACAAAGCTCAGAAAGATCTGAATCTCATGAATACTAGTTAACTCTGATCATGATAGAATAGTCTCAATTTGCAAAGATTTCATCTGAATATCATCTGCAGTGATTACATATTCTAGGAAATTAATTCAATAAGCACTGAAGTTGCACTTCATAAGCTTAATATACAGTTCTGTCTTATCTAAGACCTTCAACACACTTCACACATGCTCAGTGTGTTCTTTCTTCTTCATGAAGTACATTATCACATCATTCAGATATATTATCATGAAGACATTTAGATATGCACAAAGTGTTTTATTAATAAAAGACTGAAATGCTGTGAGAATATTAGTCAGATCAAAAGATATCACTAGATATTCAAATAATTCCAGTGCAGTTCTAAAGACAGTCTTTCATTCATTCTCAGATCATATTCACAGCTGTGTATATGCATTGATCATATTCAGTTGTATGAATATAACAGCTCTTATAAGACAGTTGATCACATTCTCAATCAGAGACAGAGAATAGTGACTCTTTATTATCTTGAAGTTCAGATTGCAGTAGTCTACACACAATCTGAGATCTTCATTCTTCTTCTTCACAAACATCACAGAGACTCCCGCAGAGGCCTGTGAAGATCAGATGAAGTCATTCTTCAGATTCTTCTTTACATAGGTCTGCAAGACCTCTGTCTCATAATGAAAGAGCTTATAGATTGATTCTCAGAAGAGTTTCTACTCTTCTATCAAATCTATTATCAGATTCTTCTTATAATAAGAAGAAAGCTCAGCTGCCTTAGCTGAGCTGAACATCTCTGCAAGATCTCAGTATTTCTCTGATATCTGAAGCTCAGTTTCCATAACTGTAAGGTTCTCAGACACTTGTAAAGTCATTATATAGATGAGCTTATCTTCTCTAATCAACTCTGCAGCATCAACTGCTTCTATCTCTGTGAGTGAGTCTGTTAACACTGATCAGAAGTATAAACCTGACTTGCAGACAGCTATGTGTGAATTATGTCTTTGAAGTCATGCAAGTTTCAAATACATGTTATCTGTGATATCTGTGATAATCACAGTTTTCATAAATCTTCTTCAGATTTCAGAGAGATCTTGCAATTTGAAGATGACTCTTATAAGTCTCTCAGCTCTCAGATCTGAGTTCTCACACTCTGCTTATTGCAAGAGCAGGTTCTCAGTCTTCATCTTTCAGCTCATTCACTCTGTGAGCTTTAGAGACATTACAGTGACCTGAGATCCTGAGTTCATCAATACTTTTCATGCTTGTGAGGCAGCAGCACCGCGGTGCAGTCTCTTCTCATAAGCAAGCATTTTCATTAAGAGAGCAACAGATTCAGGTGTCAGCTTCAAGATTCTTAAGAAGGCTGTTGCTGACTCTGTCTGCGACTCCTCAAATTCCTATTTTGATTTATTCAGACAGTTTGCACAAAGATGTTCTGATTTAGAATAGATAAAGCAGAGTCTCTTTTTCTTAGTCTCTCTGTTATACACTCTGTTCACAGAAGCTTGTGAAGCTCTTTCTCTCTGCTCAGTAGTCAGATGTGAATCTCTCTATATCTTATTATCTTTTTCTGACAAATCTGTTCTCTGTTGTTCTGACTCTTACAGAGCTGATTGATGATTCACTCTCTGCAGGTCTGTGACTCTCACAGTGATCTGTAAGTGATGAATGAGAGTCATCAGTTTCTTCAGAATCAAGGACTTAGAGTCTTGCTCAATGAGCTTGTTCTGCATGTCTTTATTCAGTCTCTTTGCAAATATCATCATTCAGGTCTTGTTTCAGAGCCCTGTTTCTACAGATCTCAATTCACATCACAATTTCA